AAAAAAAAAAAAAAAAGAGCCAGGCACTGGAACCAGGAGAGTTGGGGCTGGGCGGGGGATGCGGTCGAATCTTCAAATCAGATTCGGCTGAATCGATTCAGGACAGGGATTCAAGTCACCGAATCAAATCGCTGTCCCCCGAATCGACTGAATCTGAATCCAAAGCAAATACTAGCCGCTTTGCACAGGCCTACTTGCTATATTCTAACAATTGTGTATGGACAGCTGATAGAAATGTAGCAAAACAGCTCCAACTTCACCACTTGTTCATCCAGAGTTAAAGCTGGAGTAGTTTTGTTACATTTGAACTGCTCCTGGCTTGTCCACACAACTGTTCAAACGCAACAGCTGCTGCATGCTCCTGAGTGGCAGCTCACCTTTTGAAATGCTTTCAAACATGCATGCATCCATCCCATTAGTGCATCAGCTACTCCATATTTACTGCCCATGTGTACACTCTTGCCCCACAGTAAATTTAGAATAACTTATGCCATCTCAGTGGGGAGTGTTCAAAGAGTAGCTGATGCACTAAAACTTCACCATAGTTTACTTTGCAGTAAACTTGTTTGTGTACCGTAAAGGAATCAAAATGTCCTAAAGGTATTAAACTGCATCTCCAATGCCTTTGGATTAATTTAACAAAACAAACACAGAAAACCCCAACATTTATTAAGTTAGCTCCACTAAGCAAATCTGATTGAACAAGGCATCTTTTTTCCTAACTGGTTTGTGTCTCACCACTTCTTCTCTTAAATGTCTGGGACCAAATATCTTTAGCTCAGTGTTCATAGCCACTCAAGTGTTGTCCTTTCTAGAAATTCCAACTTCCAGAAATTACAAATGTGATAATTAGACCCCTGCCACACATTACCCTTAAGACATGATTAGTCAGTTACTCACGTCTTAAGTTGCAATTCTGCCAAATGTACAATCAATTAATGGCATGATAAACAGAGGAATAATCCATAAAACTATTCCACAAAAGATGTGCAATAATTTTGTGGCTCATTCCTATTACACCATTAACTGAATGTGTGACCAAGTGCTCTCCTGTGGCTGGAAGCCCCACCAGCTAACAGGACACCCCATGAGCTTCCATGACTTGGAGCCTGCGGCTGATGGGGCTTGCAACTGTGTGGGGATGCCTCATCTGCTCCCATGGCTGGGAGTTCCATAAAGTGACAGGGCTCCCAGCCCAGGGAGTACATGGGGCACCCTGGCAGTTGCAAGTCCCAACAGCTGCAGGTTCCCAGCCATGGGACCTTGCTCATTTGCCAATCCAGGGGGAGCCCAGGATCATGACCCTGGCTCTCCCTGCACCAGCAATAAAGCTTGATTGGATCTGATGCTGGATCCCACAATCACACCTCCTATCATGCACATGTGGCATAGCAGGAAGTGCAGCTATGTGTATCACACTACAGATCCTATCATACTTTTACCTATGTGTCTGGCAGGGCTCTTAGTGTCACAGTTAAAACTTCTATTACTTGAATCTTTTATGCATCAGAAACTGAACTGAGGCAGTATCCTCAGATCAAGTGGTCAACTAAAGTCATCAGATGGTAATGTCTTCAACTCCTAACCAAGTCAATTTGCATATATAATTCATGGTTAAAAACTTCAAATCCCTTAACCAGGAAAACATGATACAGTGGTACTTAAGACAGTTATATAATCATTAATTGGAATGGAGGGCTACAACAATCATCATAAAAAGACAACCACTAGCTCTCCCATTACTGCCAGTCACTCCTAGCTTTAAAGGATGAAATGACAACTAAAAAGTGGGAAACCTTTTTTAAAAACCTGGTTATGGGTCATAATCTAAAAACCATTTTGATCTTTTCATATACTTACAGTTAACTGGCCAGCCACTCCAAAATCAGCTAATTTTGCATGCCCCTCAGTATTAAGGAGGATGTTTCCTGCTTTTATATCTCGGTGTATTTTCCTCATGAAGTGTAAATATTCAAGTCCTTTAAGTGTAGACTTAAGAATGGTTGCAATTTCATCTTCTGTTAACTATGGAAACAAAATAAAACATACAAAATAAGTGCTTTTCTTCTCCCATACAAAATTAAATAATGTTACAGCCTAGAAGACCACAATTCCAATTCTGTAAACTGCTTCATAATAATCATTCATATAACAGACAAAAGTTTTGGTAGCTATTTTACAGAAACAAGACAGGACCACATCCAAGAAAGTTCATAATTTATGACCCAATCCATGCAATCAGATCCAGGCAGCTGGATCTTTGCACGTATAGACAGCCTGTAGAAGAAATAAAAGTGAGCTTCAAATAGGACCAGGGGTTCATCCATGCAGATTGTTTCAGAAGTGGGATCTAAACATTACAGAAGCAAAGTAGTGGTTGAAAGGGTCCCTAAATCTTTGGTTACACCTCCTTATAGTGTTTCTTTATTTTACAGGTATAAGAGAAATTGTCTCTCTCTCTCTTTTAGTATAAGACAGTATACATCCATCATCCCACCATCACCATTCTGTAAGTTGTAAAAGCTACAGTTAAAATTTCCAAAGCTAGCCCATTTTAGTTTTCAAAAAGTTAGATTTGTTAAGCAATATTAAAAGGTTTCTGTTTTCTACCAGAAAAAAAAAAATCTAAATTTTACTGAAAAGCAACTAGTCAAAAAAGTAGTTTTCCCCTCAATGTTCATATTGCCCATGGATTTAGTCCGCAACGAGAATTACTAGACAAGCTAGCTTTGACAATATGGTGACAAAAATTAAATTTAAAAGCATTTAACTGCTATCTAACCAATTAATCATTACCTAGGTCAACAGACCTGTCAGACCAGATGACACCTAGCAAAATAGGGCTCTCAGTCACCCTCTTTTGCAGATAGCTCCACCTAAATGGCACAAGGCCAGAATGGTTTCTCAAGTTCCCATGCCTTGAAGTACTTAATACAGTTTGCACAACAAACTGGCAGTCCTAAATTTGGAAGGAGATAAAGAGAATGCAATACTTTCTTAATTTCTCAAACTCCCACATATGAAACTCTTGCTCAGCTACAATTAGCAATAGCAAAGCTGTAGGCCTGTCCATTAGCATTTCCTAATGGCAATAACTATCTCTGAGTCTTACAGTGCTGACAGCTTACTGTTAGCAGATAATGCTACTTAGGAGTTACTTGGCAAGAGAAGAAAAAGAAAAAACAAAAGGGGATGACAGACTGGGTGTATAGGAACAAAGAGAAAAAACAAAAGAACTGGACCAAAAAAACTGAATGAGTTACAAAGACAGACAAGAGAGGCAATAGCTTTTGTGGGTGATATCATTTATTGGACCCAATGCATGGTTGGAATATTTAGGCAAGCTTTTCAGTATCACTGTACCCTTTCTCGGGTCTCTGGACATAATAATATATGAAGACAATATCACTGCATGGGCTACTAAAACCCTTGCTAACAAACCTAAAACATATCACCACCTGTGATGCAGAGAGGTGGTGTAGACAGATTTCTACCCACACAAATTTCCATAAGGCCCATCAGACCCAACTGCTGTTTTCACCGGGCTGGCATCTCAATTATATTTTGAAAATAATATATCTATTTAGCTTCAAAAAGTATTAGCTTTTAGGCCATTTAAATTCAATTCTTCTATAAATTACCTTTGCTATACGGTACACAGCTAAAATCTTCAATAAATTCTGAAGTAGGAACACACAAAAGTCCATTTCAGTTAGAGATTACACACTGTAATGCTTCCACAGATCAAGTTTACTGAACATACTTGAAGCCTTGCATCCCTCTATTTCCCATTCCCTCCCCACCCCAAACAGCTCCTTGTGTGGAAAGTCGTCTTTCAGTGAATAAAATGTTCTAAACAGAGGCATCTTCTTAGGCTGGAAGGTGTTAGTAACAGAAGTCAACAGGTTCTTTGATCTAGTGACAACTGCAGAGGCTGGAGCCTATGAGCCTGTTAAATAAATGGCATGGACAGTCCGGGCATATCCAAACGAGTGTGCACATGGTTTGCGATGCTGCAAACCACACGCACCACACACACAGGCATTCTCTGCACTGATAATTTGCAGCACTGGGGGGGGGGAGTTGACACTGGGATCTCCCAGTGTCAAGGAAACCCGTGGCAGAAAAAAAAAAAGTGGGGCGGCACGTGGTGGCAGTGTGCACCACTCAAAACCAGAGCATAGCCAGCCAAACGCACACTCCAGCTGACAGCCAGGCTCCACATGCCCAAATCACCACTGCTGCAGCCCCAGAAGGCCCCCAGAACCCAAGGTAAGGCTGCTAGAACCAGCCCAGGTGCTGGAGCATTTTTCCCTGTGCTAACCCCATGTGCAGGGGCCAGGGCAAAAAGCAGTGACACAAATTTGTGCTGGTGCTTTTTTCCACATGGCAAGTGCATACCCCTGCTCGTGGGGACGTGGCTTCTGTGTTCCCTCTTCCTTACTTCCAGTTTAATTTTTCACTAAACTCAAAAGGGCTCTGCCCGTTGACGCCAAGAACATGCCTTCAAACTCTGGAATAGTTGTGCCTAAGCAAGCCTATCTGTATTTTTATAAACACAGTTATCACTATGAGAAGATAATGTACCACTTTTCATGAAATCATAGCCTATATTAAGGTCAGGAGAGAAGCATATTCAGTACCAAGATACTGCTCTTTCATATACACTCCAGATGTTCATGTTACTGGTGTCCACAGCTGTGCTCAGTTTTCACCAAGTTCCCTTTTTTCCCCCCCCCCCCTCACTGAACACAGTACCGTTCACTATTAATTTATAAAAACTATGGTGAAAAGGGCATTTGTAATTTTGCATTAAGAGTCAATAAGCATGTAACAAAATAGTAACAGAACTCTACAATGTTTTTATATTGCTGTGTTTACTCTTTGTTCTTTCTGGTAAAATACATGGGAAATTGTGCTACCCTTAGTAAATATGAAAAAAAACAAAGAAGCAGAACAAGAAATTAGATTTAAAAAAATTAAAGAATACAAATACTTGAATGAAGAAGACGGCAAAACATCTTCAAAGAGAAACATATTAGTGTGGAAGTGTCCCAAGGAATGATGTGAAAATACCATTCCTTGGGACCTTCAAAAGCAGACTGGACAGCGCTTTTTTTTTTTTTTTTTTTTTAAAACAAAAAAATGCACCAGAAGTATCCAGCATTGACAATGCAATAGACCCACTAGATCTTCTTATATATATACACACACACAGTTTATAATTAAACATTTATATAATACTATAAATTATATCCTGTCTTTTCAGAGAAGACATTACTGTCAACAAATGACAGGTACCTGATCCAAAAAGTAAATATAATGTAATTCAGCAACATGCATTCAATTGGGATATGGCCATTTTTTTTTGGCCGATAACAAAATGAGCAGAATATTCAGATACCATGAAAGATTACAGAAAACACAATTATCTCAGTTGCTTTGGATGAACTGAATAGGAACACACAAGTTCATTAACAAATGTTATCATCAGATAACAGTAAGCGTTATTATGTGCCATATCCCAGGAAAAGGCCCTCCAGATTTCTGACAACCTGCAAATATATTAAGATAAACCCAGAAAGAATCTATCCCACAAACTGAACGACTCTTCTGACAATTATGTGAGCTGTTCACAACGTTGGAGTGTATTCAATTAAAGGAAATAATTACTTGTTTTAATATGGGACTGGGCACATGAGGTCAACAAGCTCTCAGTAATTTGATAGTATAAAAACTAGAGGGGAATATTCTAACTGGGGAACCATGCAAGATTCCTGTTTACCCCCTCCTACTCTCACTTACCCAAGACTTCAAAAAATTTAAGCAAAGCAAGAACAGTTCTTTAAAGTTTTGTAAAAGAATAGGATATACTATTTCCCTTGCTATTGTTAAAAATGTATCATTCTGTAAGCCAGGAGAATGACCCAACAGAAAAGAACAAAAATAGTGTTAGTCAGCAAGAACATTCCCACAGGAGTTAGCATTCACAATAAGCTTTAATTATTTAACAAACAGAACAGCTTCCCAATTTGAGGTTCAAGGCAATCTCATGAAATCTGGGTGTGGAGCCTGATCTTCCCAGTGAGTCTTACAAACCTATCTCTTGTCAAGTGGGAAACAAAACTGAGTTGGAGTTAACTCCTTCTAAACTGGGGATCAGTTAGTGTCTTGCACCATGTCATACATACCTTGTCTGCCACAAAGATCAACAGTACTTAAGATATTCACTTTTCAATTAGCCACATGAAAGTTAAAACCTTTATTTGCACCTTTTGTTTATGTGACTGCTGTGGCTCTTCAAAAGATTTTGAAAGTCGCTTGGGAACTCACAGCTCCAAGTTATGCATGGCTCAGCAACAAAGGTTAATTAAGGTAAAACTTTCCTGGTCCCCTTCTCTCCTTAACAAAGTTATTTACCTGGTTAAGAATCAAGTGACATTGGGAATCTCATATCAAATTGAAGGCAAACATGTTAAGGGGGAGAAATAGAATGACATCAGGGGAAAAGGCATTTCCTATTACTTAAGCTCATAACGCATTCTGCAGCATACAGGGGTGATGCTGTAAGAATATGGAAATCTTTTACTATATTAATTCAGGCCACTAAAGAAATTGCTCTATTGTGAATAACTTAAAGTATATAAAAATACCATTTTCTGTCAGGGTTGCATTTCCTAGACCAGAGACAATACAGTGTCTTTAAATCTTGATGATTCCTATGCAAGCAGCAGCCATCCAAAGACAATGACATGGTTAAATCCTAGAAAAGGCAATCCTGCCAGGTTTGTGTATGGGGCTGGGGGCAGTTAGATAGTGGAAAATCCCTGAACAGGAAAGCTGAAGACTAAAACTGAAAAAACTGATTGAGACTGAAAAACACAGAGTTGGAGAGACTTAACAAAAAATCTCAGAAGCTTGAGTATGGGAAAACAACAGAGGGTTAAATTTCTGTATAGAGGGGTTTCATTTAACTACAATAGCAGTCAAGGGAAAACAGAACTGGCTAGATGAAAGAAACTCCA